GCGGGCTACCACGACAAACCACATCTCCCTTAGGTACACAGAAAACCTTAACTTATTTAAGAAATACAAGAATAAGGAACCTTTAAAAATCTCCCTACACACGACGATACTAAATTTTTCCATAGTCATCAGTGAGACATGAATATATCTTCCTTGGCGCTAAACCTATAAGCCTCTTCTTTGTAAGTCAGGATAATGGCGAGGTTATAGACTTAGGTTAATAGAGCATAAGAATTGCTTCGCCGGCCTAGCTCTTTAGCTTAGGGTACGAAAGGGTCGCCTATTTGAATGGTCGTGAATTAGCAAACTCATCGCTTGGTCGTAGTTTAGTTTTGATTGAGATTTTCAGGTATGCAAATGTATTTAGAGGTATAAGTAGGTTTTATTCGCAACTTTAACTTAATGAATTTAGTCTATGTTTTTCACCTGTGTCCCACCAAATATCTTATCTTACTAATAATATAAATATGGAAGTCTGTGTCTGTCACTCAATCTCGTCAAAACGGTTGAAGGGATCGACCTGAAATTTGGAACAGGGATGGATTATGGTCTGAAATAGTAGATAATGGGCTGATGCCGATACGGAGCCCCGGCGAACTTAAGTGCAGGAGTAGGAACGGGGGTGGTTTTTAGTCAGTAAGAGTCTGACACTCCCTCCCGCCTAACCTAAGTGGGAGAAGTCAATCGATTATTTTCCCCCTTAAAAAAATGAAATTGAAAGAAACGTGATGTTCTGTATGCTGTTTTAACGTTTGATTGGGTGTGTAGTTAAAAAACAGTTTGAAGTATTCTATGTTGTACAGTTGGCCCTTAACACATGGATAAAAACAACTTAATTGGCAATCGTATCTGCGGCTGTATTAAATCAGGAATTGTGACGTCATAAAATGTATGCGATTAATGAAGAACAACATTGTATACACAATTCTTATTGTACATATTTTTATTAATCGTTCATTTTACTTTGTCGATTCACTGCTTCAGTGACCGAGTCGCAAGTGCGAATGCTGGGCAAGGGGTCTCAAGTTTGCCGGGTTAGGCAAAGTAGGGCTTTTAAAAAAAAACTCAGTAGCACGGAATTTAAAATTGTGCCCGATATATAGCAATAGGCTCACCCCCTATTACATAGGACTCACAACATAAATAGTGAAAAGTGGATGTTACATAGTACTGTGGCATTAAGTGCCGTAATGTGCACCTCTACCTACACCTTCGGGGATAAAAAGCGTGATGTTATGTTATGTTCTCTATTTTACGCTCCAGAATTAACTACAAAATAACACCAAGTCACTTAATTCACACGACTTTAGACTACTAGGAAAACAGCGTCGCTTGTCGTTCTACAAGGAAAATTGTCGATAGATTGACTCCTCACCGAACTAACACATCAAAGCTTTGAAATCCTTTGAAGTAACGTTATGTTGTCTTGGTATTTCAATAGTGAGTTCAGTTTCTCTGTCAGTTTAGTAATTATCCTTACACGAACCGCTTTAGTTAATTATCTTCGTGCTATCTCTTTCGTGCCCATTCCTCTCGCTCTAGCGTGGGCTTTTTCATTTATTAGTTGGTGTTCGCAAATAATGGGATTAGTTTTAAAGGGTGGGATAAAAATAGAGGAGATTTTGAGTGATTACAGTTGGGTAAATAAAAAATGTGAATGTTATGTTAAAAATGAAATCCAAGGTAATTTGCCTCGTTAGTTAAGTGGTCCCAAACGTGAATGACTGACTCACGACAAAAGTTACAAATATCTAATATTACGATACAACTATGACTAACTAACTGACTGACTGAATAACCGAGCCAGCAACCGACAGACTGACTAACTAACTAATTCACGGACTGACTGACTGACTGACTGACTGACTGACTGACTGACTGACTGGCTGACTGGCTGACTGACTGACTGAATGACTGACTGACTGACTAACCGACTGGCTGACTGGCTGACTGACTGACTGATTGACTGACTGACTGACTGACTGACTGACTGACTGACTGACTAGTAATGCTAACGTTAAAACTTCAAACGATCAGCTCGGAAACCGGAGCTCGCCAATCAATCATCAAAACTGTCAGATATATCGCTAACAACTAAAAATAACACCAATATATATGTACAATAAGTTCCAAAATGACGTAACAAGATACATAACACAAGACACACTTTCTAACAAGATGGTCCCATCCAATATACCTTAGTAATTGATATAATCGGAAACTGTCAACTCGATGAAACTTTCAGCGATATGTAAGAGGGAAAAAATACAATTTTCTTTTCGGGAAATCGATTAAAATCACCTGCTCGAAACCCTGACACTTCATCGAAACTTTTGCGATTCAATTCGATTATATATATATTTGCGGAATAATCGATGTGAAAACTTGTGGCTCGATTTATTTTAGCAATAAATTAGGGTCTCTTGACAACATTGCAAGAAATTTTAAGTAGACTGTTTCTTTTTGAAGATGGAATGAACAATTTATTTTAGTACTTTTTATGTGGCGTCGTCACACGTTACATATACCTACCTACCGTAGCACTTTGACAACTAGTGACTGCAGTTTTCCAAACAAAAAATTTGTGTCTACATAGTAAATATTGCATACTTCAGAATTGTATTGTCAATTTACAACGAAGGCATCAGGTGGAGTTTTTTTTTTTTGAGGGGGGAAAATCATCCAATTACTTCTCCCGCTCGGGTGAGGCAGGATGGAGTGTCAGACTCTTACTGACTAAAAACCACCCCGTTCCTACTCCTACACTTCGAGCCGGAGCCCCGGCAACCCGTTAAATCTTTCGCGGCTCCGTATCGGCATCAGCCTTGTTAGGCCCCATCTGTGGTGGTCTGATGGCTCCTTGAGGCGCGCGCGGAACGCAACGCGCCGTACGCTCGGGCCTGGTTCTGGTCGAGCGGCGAGTCACCCGTGCTCGCCGTCCGCAGATCTTGGTGGAGTCTACTGTGTCCATTCACTTACAACTACATTAGCAACTTTGTTCAGTTCAGTATTCTGTAAATCTTGTTTTATACTTTTTCAGCGTCGTTTTTTGTCGTAGTTGTGTTTTTCATGCACTTTACAACCACAACGTTCGAGTGTGAGAAAGCAATATTAAGGTTTAAATTAAACTTGTCCAAATCTAGAAACAGAAATTTATAAGACATCTATTATTAACACATTAAACTGTCAAACACCAAGCGGTCACCGGTGACCGCAACCTATTGTTCTATAATTGTGTCTATAATGACGGTACTCGACGAGTTAAACGCCTTGGGGCTCATCGGTGACCGACATTAACGGGGGATTTGTCTTCAACAGTATTCTATTGGCAGTCAAAACCTTAACGTCCTCAAAACCATATTCAAACAAATATAAATAAAACTTTGAATTCACAAACTTTGTACCAAAAGGCACTTTCTTTGACAAATAACCAAAAGAATTTTAAATGCAAGTTCTACTAGCAGTCGGCTTTTCACGCCCCTCCCATCTCGTTAGCGAATTTAATGTTCCATTCCCGAAGTACTCATAGACTTTACAATGTTTTTAATTCGACACTTCTTTTGAGAATTACTTTTCTGAGGACAGCGGTTATATTTCTTTTTTATCACTGAGTAAAAATCATAAGTGCATTTTAGAAACTGTATCAGGATTTCATTGTACCATGGGGTCCAATAGGGCTGATGCCGATACAGAGCCGCAGAGGACTTAACGGGTTGCCGGGGCTCGGCCTCTCGAAGGACAGAAGTAGGAACGAGGTGGTTTTTAGTCAGTAAGTCTGATTCCCTCTCACTTCACACAAGGCGGGAGAAGTCATAGGATGGCTTTCAATCCCTCAAAAAAATTATGGGCAGTACTTACAAAATAAATTAATGCAAGAACTACAAATACTAAATAACTATCTTTCATCATCATTGCCCTTGTTATACCGTTTGACCGCACGGGCAACTGCCCAGCCTTCGCTCTAACCGTAGCGGGTTTCGATTCCCGCACGGAGCAACTCTTTGTGTGATCCATCAGATTGTTGATTCGGGTCTGGGTGTCACATATATGTGAACTTGTAAACGTACCCACGACACAGGAGAAAATCCTAGTGTGGGGCAACATTTTGCAACGAAGAATAATACTATTTTTAAAAACTTTCGTGGGAAATACTAAATTAATTATTATTGTTTTCGGCTTACTCACCCACGATACAGCGACTGGGTCGCGGAATGCTGCTCTTGAATATGAGCCTCTAGCATGGCTTGAAACTAGTCGAGTTCCTCGTCAAATAATTACGTCAGTAAGGCGAAAAACATATTAAAAATTATCGCCTTCAAAATACCTTCAATATTTTCTAAAGTTATGCAATTTTTTATATAGTCTTACTTATAATAAAACAGCAACAAAATATTGTTTCTATAGTATTTAAAAAACTAATAGCTGTACACAAAAGCTTTGCTATGAGACTAAAAATAAGGTATAGGTATATTTATTAAAACAATCCATTTCCAAGATATTTCATCGACGTTCTTTCTAAGAAACTGTCGACTACAGTAAGTTTTTATTTTCATCTCGTTTTTCTTTAATAGAGTCAGCCGTTAAGAGTTTATGAATAGAAGTAAACAGATTATTTTTATTTATAAAACTTAGACCAGCTGTTTATGTTGTAGTTAAATTTGCTGCCTGTTGTTTAAAAGGTGTTAAGTGTAAGAGTTACGAGAATGAATGTAAAATGTTTACGATTTCTACACGTTATATTCGATAGCCGGTCCACTTTTTTTGTAACATAGACAAACAAAATGCAGATTGTAGTAGTCACGTAGTAGTAATTATAGGCTCCGCCCAAGATACTTGCAGCATCAAATGAGTAACATATTTCATAGTGAAATTAATTGAGACCAATAAGGCCAAAGGCACTTTTGATCGTCAAATAATGATGTAAAACCTGGTCAGTTCATCAGGAGGAGATTGGGCTTTAAAGCACCATCAAACTAAAGGTTATTATTGATTGTTTCCAGGTAACTGCCTAGTGATAGCGGCAGTGCTGTGCTCCTCCAAGCTGCGCAGTGTCACCAATCTGTTCATCGTGTCGCTCGCGGTCGCTGACCTTCTGGTCGGCGTCGCTGTACTGCCCTTCTCGGCCACTAGAGAAGTGTTTGAGGTAAGATTTCATTTATTAGGATTCATTTTAGTGGTGTTATTATTAGTGGTGAAAAATAGTGTTATTAGAGAAAGGTGTGGATTGAAAGATCATGTAGTGACAAGGATTGAAAAGGGAATGTTGCGCTGGTTTGGACATGTAGATGGATGAAAGTAGAGTAAAGATGTATACGGACATATAGTGACCAGATTGGCGATATATTAAAGAAGGGCCTAATTAAAAGTACCCTTAACCGACGAGCATGCATGAAAAGATTGATGACTGTTAATGAAGCGAAAGAGGTATGTAAGAATCGTAGTAATTGGCGTTCCTTAGTCTCTGCCTACCCCCATGGGAGACAGGCGTGAAGTTATGTATGTATGTATGTATGTATTTTAGTGGTGTATGGATGTTGGGAGATTCCTTTTTGTTCTGAATTTTTGTGCTTATCTTGTTCTCCAGTGGGACAAAGAAAAAACATGTTCAGTTGATGTATTTAAAAAAACGTATTATCAGTTTATGAACAGTTCATTTTTTATATAATATATTTGATTGGCCGACGTTTGGGCACTATCTCGTCTGGTGATGAGATAGTGAGATCTCTAATGATGAGTTCTACTATGAAGCACGTCGACCCATAAGCAACCTATTTACTCGGGCCTTGAAGATACAGTTCAGAAAACACAGACTCTGGCAAAGAATTCCTCTCCTTTACAATACACACAAGGAAGTTTGATAAAGGAAGGAAGCTTGTTAATAACACAACTTTATGTTAACTATAGCATTCAACCTGATAAGTTCACTATTTTAGGTTTTTTTTTTTAGGCATAAGCCGGTAAACGAGCCGACGAATCACCTGATGGTAAGCAATCGGCGTCGCCCATGGACACCTGGAACACCAAAGGCGTTACAAGTGCGTTACCGGCCTTTTGGGGATTAGGAGTTTGAGGATCGTTGGGGAATCAGGAATTGGGGAGATTGGGGAAGGGGAGGGTAATTGGGCCTCCGGTAACCTCACTCACACGACGAAACACAACGCAAGCGTTGCTTCACGTCGGTTTTCTGTGAGGTTAGGTAATGATTATAGACAAATCCAAATACTTATCTAGCAATATACCTTAATCAACGTACTGAAATCTCACTCCCATTAACCATACACGTGTCTTTTACCCTACTTGATAAAAAAAATCTAAAGCACTTCAAACATTTTTGAACACAAAATACACGAACAGCTACCGAAGCGAAGGGGTAAAATACATATAAGAGATACGCCTTACATTTTTCGCTTAAGCCGAGCGATGATAAAACCTCTTCAAAGCCAAGCCACCTCGTAAATGATAGATTTGGATATTCACCAGTCTCCCCTCAGAACGGTGTTTGATGAAAAAAGTTAAATAAACTCGACAAAAGTCTATGTAAGACTCCCTCGGATAGTTTTATTGCAATACTAAAGTCATTCACTCTTGTTGACAAGGAGTTACGATGGTAATACTTTTTTGATGATCATAAGACTATTTATTATGTTTGTGAAAGTTTATGTAGAACAGATGTCAGTTAGTTGAACTTTTTTTAGTAATGAAGTTTTTTTTATTGTTTACTAACTATTTGATGCACACAAAAATAAGCTACATAAGGCGGACTTATTGCCATATGGCAATTTCTCCCAGTCAACCTTAGGGCTAAAAATAGATTCAAAACTAAAATAAAAATTGCGTTTAAAAAAACCGACTTTGAGACCAAAACTTAAAAACAAGCAAAAGGTCAAAAGTAAAAAGCAATAAATAACTATTATTAGTCACACGTATGTACTAATAGGTTACGCACCCATTGATAGGTGAGAAGTCGGTGCCACAAGTTTTAAACAACTCCTCCTCCTTTTTGGGAAGTCGGTTAAAAAGTAGAGTAAAATAAAATAAAATAAAAAACTAATAGTAATTCAGTCAAATGAGTGAATAATGTGCACCTATATCATGGTCATTATAATTATAAATCCCCCGATCGATTTTGATCATGGTGGCAAGTCTAACTAGATTTGCACTCTACTCAGGAGGTATTATAGTGCATAAGTGTGTGCATAGGTGCACTCTCTATTCCCTCATTCTCTGAACCCTATAAGATGGCAGACAGAAACGACCCGAGAGAAGTCAGGTACAGGACCAACGGCTTTGCGTGGTTTCCGAGGCACGGGCGTGAAACACCACCAAATTTCCTGATTCCAAGCTCCTTATCAATAATAGTCATTTTGATGAGAAAATGCACTTTTTGACCGGCGCAGGACTCGAACCCGTAACACGTTGTACAGGAGCCGGTGGTCGTCCAACCACTATGCCAACTGTACTGCCTCAAAACATCTATTATGCTATTATTCAACTGTTTGTAATACCCACTATTCACTATTTATGTTATGAGTCCCATGTAATACGGGATGAGCCTATTGCCATATACCGGGCACAATTCCAGACTCCGTGCTACTATTGCAATTTTTATAAAATCCCAGATATATTTTGCCGATCCCGAAAATCAAACCCGAGACCACTTGCCTAGCAGTCGCACATGTGATACAGCCAACGAGACAGTTATACATAGATAGAAGAATTATAAAAATAACAAATGAATGCTCTAAATCCTATGAAATATCTAGGTATTCTATATTCCGTGGAAATATCACAAGGTACCATCATTTTCAGTAATTAGACGCCATAAGCGCCCTGCAGCGGCAGATGCTACAAACATAAAGGGCCAACAAAATATCCTACTGCAATTCTAAACCTTAATCCCCCAACACAAAGTCCCGATTCCAACAGCATACTATTTGATATCATTTTAACTGATTTTAAACTTTGTTCGCAAAGATATAGGCGTTCATTTTCCGTGTAATAGAAAGACATTCTTTGAAGTTGCCGTGGGAATATTGAATTTATGCTAGAGAAAATAAGATTCAGTTTACTTTGAATTCGTTATGTATCTAGACGGTGTTTTCAGTGACATTATTAGACCGCGGTAAATGGGAATTTCTAGGCCTTTGCGTTCATTGAGGCTCGGTGAAGGTAAATATTTTTAAAGTTAGCAGTTTGTCGTTTAATTTTAATGATAATGGACTTGAAACAATTATTTCGTTAAGGAGGGAATTTAATATTGTTATTTACCTCACGGCGTTAAAGTTAATTATTCTGACTTAACAGTTTTGACTACTTTAATGAAACCTACTCGTTAATTATTAAAGACTTTGGGGTTAATGAACAGACGCAACAACTGAAACTTGACAAGTTTATGAAATTAAATAGGTGAACATTATTTACGGATTAATATTACTAAACACCTTTAAATCCACCAGTATAAAAAAAATTGTTGTAACGACTAATATAATAATAACAATGTAATAAAGACTGCCTCGTTGGCCGAGTGGTCGCAAGTGCGACTGCCGGGCAAGGGGTCTCGGGTTTGATTCCCGGGTCGGGCAAAGTATTATTGGGTTTTTAATAAAAAATCTCAATAGTACCACGGAGTCTGGAATTGTGCCCGGTACATGGCAATAGGCTCGCCCCTATTACATGGGACTCATAACATAAATAGTGAAAAGTGGGTGTTAGGTACTTCTGTGTGCACCTCTGTCTACCCCTTCAGGGATAATAGGTGTGATGTTATGTGTGTGTATAAAAAAATAGTAACACCCACTTTTCACCAGTCATTTACGTTATAACCCATGTAATACATAGGGGTTCAGCCTACGGCCAAATGTACCAATAATACGGTAGATGACAACTAGTCAAATTCAATACTTTTATCGAAACGTCAAAAACGATTATAATCTATGAATTTTGTACGAAATACCATCTTATGACGTCATCATATTTTATATTCGCGTCAAAGGGTCAAATAGCAAACTTATATCTAAAAAAAATGCTAGAATAAATCGAAAATTAAGTAATCGGCAAATCAATGAATAAAGTGAAATTGCTTAAATGTTTTTTAATATTTAATTGGACTGAAAAATCAAAATAATTTATTTTTGACCCAAGAAAATACCCAATTCATGGTTTAACACGTTAAACGCCCTGGGAGTCACCGGTGACCGGCGTTAGCGGAGGATTTACCTTCAACGGTTTTTATTGGCAGTCAAAGTCTTAAAAATATGAACTACTTCATATTCAAAAACAATAAGGCATTGACTCACAAACAAATGACAAATCATGCGCGGTGTTTTCCCGATTTGGGGGTACATAATTGATAAGTAACATGCAGTAAAGCGTATAGCAACATGACTGAACTGCCCAAGTCAGTTGGTTTTTTCTCACGACTGGTAAATCTTAAATATGAATGCTTTAAGGTAAAAGTTATTGACCGACTTCGAATAAACGAGGTTCTAATTTGCCCTGTATGTATGTACAATGTATATTTGTGCTCGATTATCTCGCGAATGACGGAACCGATTTTGATGCGTTTTCAGAAAAATTTTTGTTCCACTTTTTTTTTAAGGGGGAAAATCATCGAATGACTCCTCCCGCCTGAGTGAGGCGGGAGGGAGTGTCAGACTATTACTGACTAAAAACCACCCCGTTCCTTCTCCTGCACGTCGAGCCGGAGCCCCGGTTACCCGTTAGGTACTCCGTGACTCCGAATCGGCATCGGCCCTATTGGGCCCCAGCCGTGGTGGTCTGAAGGCTCTTTGAGGCGCGCGCGGAACGCGACGCTTTGTTTTATTACACTTAGGAGCAAGATTTAGTGTATTAATTTACTGACTTCAAAAAACGAGGTGGTTACGGTCACTTTTTTAAACGTAGTTTAGAAAAGAATAAATTTATATTAATATGTATTTATTTACATATGACGACCTTGTTAAACGGGTGATTACAATTGTGATTGACAAATGAGTTGGAATAAAGTTTTATTCTGAATAGTGATGCTATTTATGTTATGAGTCACATGTAATAGGAACTGACTCTATTGTCATATCGGGCACAATTCAAGACTCCGTGTTACTACTAAGATTTTTTTTAAACGCAGTAATACTTTGTAATTAC